CCCCCCCCCCCCCCAACAGATGGTCAATGGAAATTCCTAAGGGGTGGGGGGGCTAAAGGGTAGAAATTTCCAAGGGGTATGGGGGGTGCCCACGAGAAGAATTTTCCACAGGGTTGTAAAAGAGGTGAACGATCGTACGAGTCATACTTAAGTATACGAGGATTATTTTGATTTGTATTACAACAAAAATCAGAAATAGATGCCCTTTCGAGAAAAAACTTAAAGATGTAACGGTCGGTCCATCCAACGTTTGACTTTGACGAAGTCTTTAAATAAATATTGTCCTTCGGGCAAATCGATCGCAGTTCTTGGTGCAATTCTCAACAGAGGTCCCTTGCTTCTCTGGAAATAAATTTTAGCGCATCGGTTAATAATGCCGATGAAAGTGACTTAAACTAGACGTGTACACCATTGAAACTTAATTAGAGTATCAGAAATTCAACTTTGGGACGGGAAGCAGATTTACCGATAAACTTTGCCTGTAAGAAGATTCGTTTTGTAATTCGAAAATGTTCACATAGTTTTATTTCAACGAATAGTTCAAATTTGAAGTTACGCTTTAAATGTTTTCTTGAGATGACATAAACATATTAATCTCTGTTTTCGTGCCTGACGCACATTTCGCTCAATGGACTTAAATAAAAAAGAGAGACTGCTCATTATCAAACGTGCTCTACCTGCGTAAGAAATACAAATTGCCTTGTAAAAGATCACAAATAGGTCAAAGATTATAAAAAACTGTGTCTTAAGATGAGAACAGTTAATTTTAAGCAGTACACGGTCGATAATGTCTAAATGCCGCAAATAAAAGCCATGAAAAGGAAAAAAGGAAATTCCTGGGGGGGGGGGGGGTTATACATGACCCCTCCGGAACGGAAATTTCAAGGGGTGGGGGTTCTAATCGGAAGAACCATCCGTGGGAGGGGTATGGATATTTTCTGGAATCACACATTACCATAAATTTACTTCTAAGACCTACAAATTCACTATTTAAATGTATTTAGTAGTGCTTCCTCTCTACTTTTTTCACAAATCACACAAAAGCCTGACTGACTGGCTCAACAACTCCTTAGTGAATATAATGTTTGGACACTAAGAGTTTCTTCACATGGCTCTACTAAGGGATTTATTAATTAATAAATTTTATTTTGGGGTAGGAAGGGAGGATTGCTCTCCAGCAACCACTGGGAAGAAATTAAATGCTTACCATAATAATACATATCATTAATGGCTGATTGAGGAGAAATTTATTCAGCTTGGCAAAGAAACCTGACAGGTTTATATTTCTTTCCGTTGATGTTCATTATATGATTAATTACTATCTATAATTTCTATTTCCACAGTCCACATCATCATCTGATCAGCATGTCATTTCTTTCGCACGTTAAGAACTCAACAAACTGGCCTGCTCCAAATGTATGGGTCTTCATAGCTCAATTGGTAGAACACTGTATGCAATGCTATTACAGAGGCTGTGGGCTCAAATCCTGTTGAAGTCCCTCCTATTTCTTTTGTTTTCTTCTTTTTTGCGGGGTGGTGGTGGTGGGGGGAGGGGTCAAAATTTGTAATAATCCTCCATTTATTAAAATTTATGCATATATTATTGTTACCTTTTTTATTGTTTCACAAAGGTGTAATAAATGTGATTTTGTTAAAAGCTGTGGATCACTTTCAGATTGTTCAACCTGAGGACTGGTTGAACAATATCTGTTAAAACAAAATAAGCAAAAGTAGATTGTAGTGCATTGCATGATACTCATAAAAAAAACATTTGTAATTACATGCACTTTACATGGAAGTACTGGTATAATACATTATTATGACCAGATCACAGGATTTGAAAAAAGTCCTTTTTGGTTGTCTGGGATGAGTAAATTTTGCAGTCCTCCAA